TGAGTTTAGCCATGTTGCTGGATTGTGACTGGTTTACTGACTTAATGACAGATTAAATTACTGATATACCGACCGGAGAAATGAAGGAAAGAAGGATCGACCGAAGGAGGGAAGGACAAGATAACTGTCCTGCCTACTGATAATGGGCTCAAGGAACGGCAGGGTAACCGACTGACTGTGGGGCTAATGACTTAACGTTCAGTACCCGAGGGGTTGTGTCTGCCAGACTTGGTAGACAACTTTTTGAAGGGTGGTAAAATTGCTTGAATTTCGACCACATTCTGACTCGAGGAATGACAGACTGACTCCTGGTGCACCAATAAGTAATTCACTAACTGAGAGACTGGCTGACTAACTGCACAACGAGCAACTGAATGAAAGTATGAGTTACCGTTGAAAAAATCACTGACAATGACTATCCTTTTAGCCTACTAACTGAGAATGAACACACTGACAGGAGGAGTGATTGAAACTGAGTAAATACTGAATGCGTGTGTACCTATGTAACCCAGAGACTCGTTAACGTGCTTTACGTAACCGATCTGATTAACTAAATACTCATGCACTTGCCGATTAGCTGATGAACTGACTTCACCTCCTAAACAACCTTTAATTTAAATCTATGCGATAATTTTTAGTCAGTTCTCGGGAGGATCAAAGAGAGTCCGCAGTCGTACAGCGCAGACATCACCACACAAGCAACACTGACATGTTTCGCATGTAAAACAACCTCACACCGGAAGTGAATGCATCATGCTGTCCGCATCGATCGCATGTGAATGATCTACTGCCAAAAAAAGAATGGTATGAATTCATTGCTGATGCCAACTAGTAGTGAATAAGAAATTGTATACTATAATATTATTCGAACCCTACACCTGTAAAGTACAAGTTACGCTAGCATCTCCAAACTCCTGTTGATAGGGGTCCAGTCTCCATCCAGTCGGTGGACTTAGAAAAATTGAAGGCAAGATTGCAACCGTTGGAATGCCGGTTTTCCTGACACTAATGATGGGGCCATTCATGGCGCTCTTCTTGTCGTGAAGTACATGGTCGATGTGCTGATCTCTACTTCCATACAATGAATCAACAGTGCTTTATTTCAAATGCAGAGCCGACATCAGCTGTGTCAAACACAGAGTAGTCTTCTGTAATCTTCTTACAGAGTTGTATTTATTTATCAAGTAAGGAAAGAAGAGAGGCAAGCGACCCTCAGCTCGGCTCGAAGCCGGTGTAGTCTCGATTGCAAATCTGACACACTCTTTCGATACAGTAGCCCCGGACTGGTGGGCTGAAGAATAATCGCTAGATATAACATTTTCTAAATAAAACCTTTGATGGTACGCGGTCAAGCCATTCAAATAAGGAGAAACGGTTGCTGTCGCGATTGTCATCGTTATCAGTGCTATTGACTATTTCCGGTATCCGCAACGAAACGAGACAATGGTAAATAAATTTTCACCATCCTTTGTCACTTAACCTCACAAATGATGAAAAGAAAGTGATAACTCAATTTACGAACTGAGAATCAAAATGCATT